AATACAGTATATAATTTTGTTTCATTGGTTTGTTAATTATTGTAATTATGTATATAGGCTTTTTCTAGTCAAAAAGTGTCCGGGGTCGGGTCAGGGGGGTACTTGGGCTAAGAAAAGGTTTCAAAGGGGGGTACATTACTGAAAAAGGTTTGAGAAGCACTGAGCCAAACAATATTAATAGAAAACTGAGAGCCATCTCCCCTCCATCGTTCAGCTTAAAAAGTATTATTAATTTGGCATGTAAGCAAATATTATTAACGTGCTAAATCTTGTGTCCTGTGATTTGAATGTGTTTACCTCTGTACTGTAAAGCACATCCATGATTTTGTTGAAGATTGGGTTTTCACTTTCGCTGTCCTGGCAGAGGACCTCAATGTCTCTCAGCTTTCCGAAGTAGAAGTCTCTCTCCTTCTCCAGTCCGTCTATAGTCAGCTTCAGGTCCTGCAGCTGTGTGCAGAGAGAGGAGGGGTTTGGGTGCTCTCAATGTGAAACAGGGCTTTCAGAGAAACTTCATAAACATAATTATGTACCATCAATCATGCAATTTAATTATAAACCTGCACTGATGGGTAACTACTGCTTCTATTTATAGAAGACATTTCTGAACAAAATGGATGAATATCGCTATCTAACACTGAAAACAAAATAATAATAATAATGCTGCTTATAATAATAATAATAACTATCTCTAAATATAGAAACGAGTTATTCTTTCATATTCATTTTATTATTGTTTCACATTCTTTACTTGATTGTATTAACTCCTGTTTCATTTCAATCTGTGAGGTCTCCCTGAATGTTCGATGTTGAGGGAGGGGGGAGGGGAGTGTTATTTCCCCATGTGTTAATCTATGTATGTGTGACGGTATGTTCTTTTAAAAAAAAAAAACCCAATAAAAATCATGTTAAAAAATAAAATATATGTCTGAACAGCCCGTCGGTACCTGCTGGTGGAGCTCCACGATTTCAGAGTCCCCCCCGTTACGGGACGTGTTATTGGATTTACGGGGCGCTGCTACAATGATCTGCTTCTGTGGCGGGGGGGCAGGTTTTGGTACTGTAGGGGAAGTCCTCACAGGGCCTGGAAGACAGAAACATACACACACACATGTTTATATATCTGCACTGTTGTTTTTAGTCTGCTGTCAGATTCACTTCATTTTACCCAATGCAGCTGCAACCAGTCAATTATATATAGAATAAATGTGACCCAATATTATTTGTATGTTTTAAGTGTCCCACGATTCAATACGGTCAGACTGAAGCACTCCTTTGTGCGTCAGTCAATCCTCACAGTACGCTAAAAGGTCATTAAAAAGGTTTTCTCTCACTGATTGTGCTGTTATGGTAAATGTTCGTTGTTTGTGTTTCATATACTGTGTCTGGATCGTAAGTCATTCTTACTCTCTGTACTAAAGGGTTGTGTTGGGAGAAAAACAATGAAAAGATGTGAAGAAGGAACATGTTTGCAGAGATTTGAACATCTTTTTTCAGCCTATTCATATATTAATGAAACCTTTAAAACTTCTGACTGTTGAAAATACATTTAATGAGATATCAAGATTTTAAACTCTGGGTTCAACCTTTTTTTTTTCCAACTTAGAACAAAGCAAATAAGATATCATACTCATCGCATACAAAAACAACTCAACACTTACCCTAACCTAAACTGACTTCCTACCTTACAACGTTAAAGCCAAGTCATTCCTGTCAACAAGTCCCTTCAAGAGATAAGGAGAGGTCTGTAACTGTTTCTAACAAGATAAAAGCACAAAAGGAAACCCACACACATGCACAAACACTCACAGATTATTGATACATTTCTTTGCGGTTTGCTTTGATGATATTACCTTGAATAACAATTCACGTGTCACTACTGGAATACTTCACTGCTAACATTGTTTGATCTGACGCACACGTACTAGTTGTTCTCTAATATACTGTAACTTTGGTCGGACGTCTTCTTTATTTTTCCTGCCTTGCAACTTATTTACATGCAGCACATTAAAATATTGATTGGCAGACAGACCAACAACTTGTGAGTCATAGCAGGGAATCTTGTGAAGGCTGCTTTTGTAGAGACAATGTCCAAAAGACTTGTGAGACTGTACGAAACAATTCAAATGTACCTTAAATCAATAAACAGTTTGAATGAAGAAAAAGTCACTCTGCGCAGACACACGCAGACACACGCAGACACACGCAGACACACACACGATGCAGAAGATGTTACCTGAGCGAGAGGGGGGTCTTTTAGGTTTGCTGGGACTGTGTGCACCTGGGTTAGAGGTGGGGATGTTTTTCCATGAAGACGTGAAACCAATGAAATGAAGCCTTTGAGTTCACACACACACTCACACTCTCACACTCACACTCACACTCACACTCACACTCACACTCACACTCACACTCA